TATTGTGGCTTTCCCTTGCAAACATCGTTGGTGATGTTGATTGGCTTTCTCTGATCTGCTTTCATGCGCTCCTTCAGGACATGCATCCCCTTGATTCAAGAAGCCCCGACAGAAGCGTAGGTCCTCGATGAGATACTGACATACAGTTCTGGCTTTGCATTTTGTTCTTTGTATCGGCGACCAGAATCTAGCCGGAACCTGTGGCTGGCAGGCGTGCAAACCCGCCGCACAGGGCGGCCCAGCGCGAGAGACGTTGCGTGCTGAGACCCTTCCCTCACGCACATTCGGAGTCATTTCACATGCCAGGTGGTATATCTGTGGAAGTCTCTCTTGCTTGCACCGCTAATGCAGTGAAGTCTTTCACTGGACACATTTTAATGGATTGAATCCTGGACCCGGAAAGTTGTAATGATAGAAGCCAGGCCCACGCACATGACTGATTTTTGTGCACACGCAGCGATGCAGCACGATTGCTGATCCCAGAGGTGGCACATAGTGAACACTCTTCTCGTTGTAGCGTGCGTATTTAGTCTAAGTTTCCGAACATTGGAATTCTCAAACCCTGGGGTGACAGTAAGGTCTGCGTTCATCTACCCCGGAAAGATCCAGGAGGACGAGTCCTCGAGGTGGGTGCGGCTTTGCAAGCATGCTGAGCAGCCTCTGCTTTTTTTTGCACTTTTCAGGTCCACGCTCGCACCTTGAAGAGCCTTGCGACCTCATATTTTGGCGCGGTGACTTTCCCGGCTGATTTGGGATGCATATCTTGCTCGTCTTGAGCTGCCATTAAAACCACCGTTATCCGGCTCGCGACATGAGTCAGGTTCTGGTGCCCTGCAGAAATTTTAATGTGCACAATTGCGTAGTGGCTTACTTCCATGAGGTGCCATGTCCGTACCTCGGATTCGGTACCATTGAAATCCGACAGGCCGCGATACAAACGAAGCACACGTGACCACATGTAGCAAGTTTTCTGAAGCATGTGCAGGTATCTTCGCTTTTCGAACCATAACATCAACACCCTCACCTAGAAACGCTTACGCATTTTCCAGGGCACTTTCAGTCTGAGAGTCAGCCGCATGCCCCAGACCCCGGACAGAATCTGCAGCTACAACTCAATTCAGTGTCTTCGTTGGTTTCGGTTAATAACGGTTAATAGACGTTACTACATCTCCCGAAAGATGCACGATTTCGGCCGGGCGATCGCTTTGATCTCTACATTTAATTTAACGCTACGCAGCCCGCCTCGGCTCGACATCCCAAACGGCGGCGAGGACAGGTCAAGGAGGGGGGGGAGGGTCGGGGAATGGGGGGAAAAGCGAGGAAAACTGTCGAAGGAAAGGACAGGTCAAGGAGGGGCCAGCCGGGGCCGGGGGGTCGAAAATGTACGCCACCTGCAATGTCAGTTCGTGCAACAACGTGCTTTTGGACGTTCGAAAATGGCCAGTCGATCCGCGAGCCTGCCGAGCATCAGTCAGTCAGTTGGTCAGTGCCAGTCAGTCGGTCAGTCGTCCGAGCCCGCCAGTCAGTCAGTCAGTCAGTCGGTGTGTCCGTCGGCACGCGAGCACGTCGGTCTGTCAGTCAGTCGGGCGGTCGGTGGGTTGGCTCATGCGCCAAGCGCCGGGCGGTCAGTCAGTCGCACAGTCGGTCAGTCGGTCCGCCAGTGTTTGAGATATATGATGGACCGACATCGCCAAATGCAGGGGCATGTTCAAGAGATAGGATGAACCGTTATAGTTATAGCCAAAAAAGGGGGCGTGTTTAGGATATGTGATGAATCGTTATCGCCAAAAATGGGGGCGTGTGTTCAAGATATATGATGAACCGGAATCACCAAATAGAGGGCGGCGTGTTTAAGATATGTGTTGAACCGGACTCGCCACATGAGGGCACGTGTCTTAGCTATATGGTGAGCCGGAATCGCCACATGATAGGGTGTGTTTAACATGCATGATGAACCGGAATCGCCCAACGAAGGGGCATGTTTAAGAAAGTTTAAGATTTAGGATAAACCAGAATCGCCAAATGACGGGGCATGTACAGGATATATGGTGAACCAGATTTGCTAAATGAGGGGCCGTGCTGAAGATTTATGATGAACTGATGATGAACCGTTGTCGCCGAATGAGGTGGCATGTTCAAGATATATGATGAAACGGAATCACCCAATAAGGGGACGGCGTGTTTCAGGTACATGCTGAACTGTTGTCGCCAAATGTGGCATGTTTAAGATGTAGGATGAACCGGAATCGCTAAACGAGGGGGGCATGTTTAAGATGTAAGATGAGCCGGAATCGAATGAGGGCGCGTGTTTAAGATATATGATTATGATGAACCGGATTCGTCAATTGACGGGGTCGTATGTAAGATATATGACGAACCGGAATCGCCAAATGAGGGCCGTGGTCAGGATATATCATGAACCGTTATCGCCAAGTGAAGGGGCGTGTTTAAGATATATGATGAACCGTTCAGATCTTGGATAACCGGAATCGAAAATGACGGGGCGTGTTTAACATGTGTGATGAGCCGTTATCGCCAAATGAGGGGGCATGTTTAAGATATGTGATGGACCGGTATCGCCAGATGAGGGGGCATGTTGATATATCATGAACCGTTGTCGCCAACTTTGGGGGCACGTTTAAGATATGTGATGAACCGTTATCGCCAAACGAGGGTGTGTGGTTAACATATGTGATGAAACGGATCGCCAAATGAGGCGGTGTGCTTAGGATACATGATGAACTGGCATCGCCAAAAGAAGGGGCGTGTTTAACATATATGCTGAACCGAATCGTCAAATGAGGGCGCATGTTTAGGATTTGATGAACCGCCAGTCCCAAAGGCATTGCATTTGCAAATGGGGACGGCGCAGCCTCCCCGACCCCCCCCGCTTTCAAAAGCCTTGTGAGCGTGCTTTAGTGAACGTCGTACAGTCAAGAACGCTATTTAGGCCATTCGCGATTTCAAGTCAAGCACATAACTCATGCAGGCCTTGCCTGGCAAAGCCCGTGCTACACGCCCAACCCTCCCGCCCCCCCCTCCCCCCCTTTCTTTTTGAACCGCGCAAGCTTGCTTTAAAGAACATCGTGCCACAAAGAGCATAGAGCCACAAGGCCGAGACGCCCAGAGTCTGAACTGGCACGGAAGGCAACCGGGTAGACTGGCGAGGCCAGCGGTCGGACCGTCGGATTTGCAGACTGAGTGACGGATGGAGGGCCGAAGAGTCGGCCGAAAACCATAAAAATACACCAAAGAAGACCTCGCATACAGCCCCAGCCCCGGTTGTCGCCATCCCTGTGACTTCTGCATGTTTGGTATATGGATCGAACCGAAAACCAAAAAATACACAGAACAAGTCGAAAAAACAAACTAAAAGAAACCTGGACCCCTCAGCAGCAATGACAAGTTTGAACACTTCCGTTCTGAGTCGTGCCTCATGACTTGGTGTTTTTTTTGTTCGATCATCTTCCATTTCTTTTGAACGTACCGTTCCCCGTCTAGGCTTGCAAGCAGGTCTCCATGACCAGGAAGCTTCCATGTCTAAACAAGCTACTTCTTGAACCATGCCTGCATCTTACGGAATCGCTCATGTTGGTGTCTGTGCATGTTTCTAGACGACATGTGCGACGTGTGCTTCTCGATGAAAATTCAGCACCCCATTATTTTCCGGCCTCATGCTTGCGTGCATAGCATCGCTGAGATGACCTGCAGGGTGACGTGAAGGTTCACTACGGATTAAGATCTTTGTGAGCGGTCGGTTACAGTTTAGAGGCTCTACATAGCTCCCACACATCGCAGCTGATGCTTTGCACAGCAATGCTCATGAAGGCTAGGCGATCATTAGCCGCTGTAGATCATTAGCCGCGGTGTATGTACCTGTACGGATTTGTCGACAGCTGGAAACCAGCTAAACATCAGCTCTTAATATTTCAGCGACAGTCCACGGATTGCAGTTCAACACTGACTGTTGACTTGTGATACCATGTGGTGTCCATGCAGTGTTTCGTGACGTGACATCTTGCGCCTCCAACGCGCAGTTTTGCCCCTTCGTAAGGGCTGTATCATCCAAACTGCTTTGGTTGTCAAGAACATTGCCTGCTGTGTAGATAGGTTTGCAGGATGCGAGAGGTTGCAGAGAAAGGTGCGATTCAGGATGCCTGCATTGCCTGACACCCCTCTTGCTGTGAGCATTCGCGACCCAGCTCCCACCCTACGCTGCGGATCTTCATAGTTTCTTCCACTGCGATAACCAGCCGCCTATGGGTCCTATTGGGCAGTGACCTGTTCGGAACGCACAGTAAGGGTATCAATGCAAGTTCAATTATGATGCCATAACACAGCTAAGCTTCTCGCTAGATCAAGACCGCAGCATTCCAGCGTGCAGGTGCGGGGCCTCTCCGCATATTAGCATCGTCACCTAGATCCTGGAAGTTGCTCCAAGCTTGCTCCAATCCTGCGGATCCGGTCCTGCTATGGCGACAGGAGCTACCAGAGCGTGGCCCAGGCGAAGTAGTGAGGTTGACGCCTGTGTGAACTGCCGAAAGTTGCTTGCAGGCCCTTCAGCAGCAGATCACATCAGGCTAGCCCTGTGCGTTTTGGCATTCAGGGCATCTGACGGTAGTTTGCATGTTTGACCGGACGACATTGCATCGAGCTTCGTGGTCTGAGTAGGTGAAAGCATCCTGCACTCTTGTCGGCCTTCAAAACTTGCATTGCATATGATATCTTAGATCCATGGACACGCTATCTTCCTGCGGCCGTACTGCGTTTCGTTTTTGTTGCAAAACGCAGCAGTTCCGGCTCAGAAGCCATCTTAGTTCTATGTTCCAGGTGAGGTACATCTGCCAGCAAGTTGAAGAAGCGGTACATGCATGATTCTGCATGATTGGAATTACATGTGCCTTCTTTGTGGTCACAGTTCGAGTGGATGCCAGCTGTTTCGAGCAAGTGCAGCAACACTCCTGCATTCTCGCTTGCGATGATGTCGCTGTCGTTCGGCAATGCCTTGGATGTTCCGCCATCGCTTTCGCGATGAACCGATCTCTCGCATAGACAAGTTCAGAGCTTGGCTTCAAATCGGGCAGCCGGAGCTCATCGTTGCTACAGTGGCATGCGCAGGCAAGATCACATATTTGCAAGTGATCGTGTGGCTTGCAAAGCAAAGCGGATTGACGCTAGGTGTTGTCGTTCTTCGTGCAGTCTGCCGGCGACGACGTTGTCGCTCTATTTCTGTGACTTCGAAGGTGAGGTAAGCTCAACTCCCGCTCGAGCCTTCCGAAAGCCTAAACACTGAAGCGCAGGAACGAAGCGCCACGATCCGCATCCATCCTGCCGCGACCTCCCGCGCGGAAGGGCAGCCAGCCCGGGATTTGGGCGTCCTTGCAGCCACTTGGCGGCGGTTGCACGTGTCACGCTTTCGGTTGTGCATGCCACTGCTCCTTGGCGCCACTTAGCAGTTGCATTTGGCACGAAGCAGCTTTTTGTTCCGCCTTTTTTTGCTTTACCACTTGCTGCTTTCCTTCGCTTTGGGAACTGGCGTTTGCCAACCCCGCTCGTAGATTTCGGACTTGCCCATCCTCAGCCGCTTGAGGGTCCATGGCCGACTTCCTTGTTAGGGTTCCGGGCATGTCACACCCACTCGCTCAGGGGTCTAAGCCTAAGACCTGTCATCCCGACTTGCTTTGGGGTCTAGAAGACCCCCTCCAACTCTCCTTGAGGGTTTTTTGCCTTCACTCGCTTGAGCGGGCTTTGGCTGGGGCTTGCCAGTTGTCTTGACACCCACGTTCGCTACATGCACCCACTTCCCCCTGGCGGGGTTTTTGGTCTCGGGCTTGCCACCCACGCTCGCATTGAGAATTCGGGCTTGCTACGCCTGCTCGCCCTGGGGGCCAGGGTTTGCCACCCCCGCGCTGTGATGCTTGCATGTGCACTGCTTTCCGACTGCATAGCAAAGTGCACTGATCCGAAGCATCCTTGCTCAGCTTACGCAGGACACAACCCTGTAGCTTGCCCGACGAACCCTTCAGAGAATACAGGGGTACAAACCAAGCAAGACGAAGAGGAAGAGTCGCGACGGGCCTTCCTTAGAAGAAATTGAGAGCAACCTCACCCTCTTCTTTCGGTGGTATCCTCCGTTTCATGAAATATGAGTGGAAGGCAACACTCCTCTTCCTGGATGTGGTACTTACATGCGCATCGACTGCATAGGCAAAGTGCCCTGATCCGAAGCATCGATGTTCAGCTTAGGCAGCAAAAGGCCCTGTAGCTTACGTGCTGTGCGTGCTGGTTTTGCGATTCTCAGTTGAACCATGTTTGCATTGTCAGTTTTGCTCGCTTAGTGGTCTAGCCGTATAGTGCCCAGCTTTGACCACTCTGCTCAGCTCGCGAATCGTGCTCCTGCTGTAGTCCCACTCATGTTGTGTGTGTGTGTGCAAACCCTGTATCCAAGGATCTTCACTTGACAGTCCATTTCTGATTTGATAATAAGGGACCTGACAGTCCCTTTCTGATTTCGACAGCAGGGGGGCGGTGGACGTTCTGGAAGGCACTGCCCAACGAAGACCTTCCCAGTTTGTCGCGGTTTGGATTGGGGACGCTCAATCCACGTACCTGCGGACATTGCTTGTGACATCCTGGTAGCGGTGGTAGCGGCTGTACATGGTTCATTATTCGACTGACTGTATGTGTTCACAATCTATAGCGCAATACCCGGATGGCCTGGGCCTAAGCCGATAACCGTATTTCTGGACATTTCAGTGAATGTGTGTGAACAGCGATTTCTTGCCTCGACTGCGCTGAGCGCGTGCCGTTGACAGGTTCAGGCCCAGTTGTGGTTTAGCAGGTGATTGTAGGTTTGAGGCTGGGTTAGTTCGTGCACTTCGTCGGAGACATTGATGAACATGAGCTGACATGTCAAAAGTTGCTGACGTGTAGACCCAAGGTCTTGGGCGTGAGCTCTGGTCTTCGCATAAATCAAACCAATCCTAACTTTCTGTGTGTGTGTGTGTGGGTGTGTGTGCGCGCGCGTGTGCGTGTGCGTGTGTGTGTGTGTGAAATTCCTGTTTCTAAGGAAGTTTCTCCTCATATACAATATTCATTCCAAATGCAGGGGGCAGTGGCCCACTCAAGAGTCCACTGCCAACGAAGCTACTCTTGAGATGGGAGGATATCCAGGCTGATCACCTGGACGTACCTGCAGTGATGTCAAAAAGACATCTGAGCGAATGAACATTCTGAATACCCCAAATTGATATTGCCAGTTTCTGAAGACCTCTATTCTGAAGTCATTCCGAAGACATCCTGAGAAGTCTGCCAGTGGAAGAGTGCATCCAGTTCGTGGTGAAAGATGATGAGAAGACAACCAGCTTCGACTGGGTATGTGTGTGTGTGTGCGTGTGCGTGTGCGTGTGCGTGTGCGTGTGCGTGTGCGTGTGCGTGTGTGTGGGTGGGTGGGTGTGTGTGTAGTGTGTATATATATAATATATATATATATATGTGTGTGTGTGTATATGTGTGTGTGTGTGTGTGCTTGCATGTGTTTGCGTGTGTGACAGCATGGGCAAAGGAAAGCCAGCAGGGGGCAAAAGCACTTGGGTCAGACTCCTGCCAAGGGAGATGCTGACCAATCGTGGTGAAGCATTCAGGGATGCCCGACGGTGTATCTGCAGAGCGTTGTTAAACGACATAAGCTGTGCATTGGTGATCGTGAATGTTTCTAATCGGATGTCATTTCTTTGTGCAGTGCCAGGCAAGTCACACAATATAGATATCGAATGAAAGGCATTCTATCTTTAGTTTGCAAACCCATGAATAGATTCGGCTATCTCGAGGGTCGATTCAGTGCGAGTGGTGTGCATTTTGATTTCTTGGCATGGTTTTGAGGGCATCAGGGATGCTGCTGCGATGGCTTTTGGGAAGGGCTTGACGCGGACAGACAAGTGATCCTTTATTGTTTGGGGTATATGCCGGCAAAAGATTCGACTAGCGTGCTGGAAGCGCTTCGAGCTTCTTTAGACGAATGTCACGTCGAAACCCCTTGAACGAGAATTGGTTGCACAACGGCAATTGAACAGCAGCTTCACCGATCACAGGGAGAGCCAGTAGCAGCATTGGAGGTTTACGGCAATACCGTTGTATAGCTCGGAAGTTTCGTAGGGTCAGAGCGCTCCAGTGGGAACAGACTACAAAGCAGTCGCGTTTTTACTTCTTGGCCTTTCCCGGCTGTTTATTGATCGTTTCGGTCCGCCTTTTTTGTTGACGTGTCGTGAATTTCCAATCTCCAGTATCTTTGTATTTTGCCTCTGCCGTCCTCTGAACTGGCTTCGCAACCCGTTTTATAACCTCCTTAATTGTTATTTTTCCGGCTTGTTGTTTGACTTGCCCCACATCACACGGCGACAATTTCCTTGCTGATGCGAGGGCTTCTTTTACATGCCCAGATTGGGCTTTTGCAAGTCTGTCAGCGAGGCAGCCCGTCTAAAGCGAGAACGTGGACATGCCGCAGTACTGGAGCTACTCATGTGTTCCGTCAGATATGGCGAGTGGCAAAGATCTTGTCCGGAGGAGCTCTTTGCTGGCTCTGGTATGCGGTCGGCGCGTTACCTCTTGGAAGGCGCTCTGTGGATGCTGTCATGGTCTGCCCGTACAGATTTCATACACCTGCAAGTTGGAGGTGGAGCCGACTTCGTCTGGGCAAACGATGCGAATCAGGAGCGGGCGTGAGTTGCAAGCGTGATTGAACTATACAGCTGCCCGTTGTATCGCGTTCTCTATCTTCAATCGTCTTCACCGGCGAGGTTCGACAGATGGATGCTTAATTCGAGTCCGACCGTGCTGATTGTATTCGTGTAACGTAGACGGAAGTTTGACAAAGACATGTGTTTGCGAAATGTTGCTGTGAATGGCGGAGGTCGGGGTTCGATATGCGAGTAACATCCAGGAGCGTGAATCTCATGATGCCGCCTCCTCCTCCTCCTCCTCCTGGTCCAGGTGCCCACCGCCGCCCTCGTCCGTCTCGTCATCATCTTCGCTCTTTGTCCTCTTCCTTATCCGAGTGTTGCAGAAGCTTAAGGGTGGCACAGGTCTCGAATCAGGTTGGGCGATGGGCGTGGCTGCTGCACGATGTGCCATGTCAAAGCCACCGTCGAAGTTTGGATCGAAGTGGTCCGAACCCAGACCCAGACATCCCAGACCAGTGTCACGAGAAGATCTGTGGGGCTGGTGCAGGCAGGGCTGGGGTTGGCACCAAGTTGACCAGACTCCCGGAACTCTTCCCCCCGCACGCGCATGGATCTCTGGTGGTGAGATCCTGGTGGCTTATATATGCAGGCAGATGTCAGGGCCCGCACCATTGCTCAACCACTTGCAAGTCTTCAACGTTTCGCGGAACAGCATGTGCAGTCTTTTCCCGATAGCCGATCGTCAGAATTCCGGATGCTACGGTCTAGTGAGATTTGCTTGACCACAAGGAGCTGTTCCAGACACTTTTGGCCAACCTGCAACAGGCAGGCTTGGGCCAGAAGTTGCTACCGTTCTTTTCAAGTGAAATGCGCCAGGCCGCATCTGCAGCAGGGCAGATGTCGCAGGATACACGGGGAGGCTGCGACAGCCATCAACACGGACTGTGTGAGGACTACCCCTGCTCCGACCTGCTGCCTGAGTGGGCCGCTCCGCACAGCTGGCGGCTCCAGGCTGGGAGCCCGGTTGCGGCGGAAGCGGCGGAAGCGGCGCATCCGCTTCAGGAGGGACTGCCCCTCCACGGCAGGGAGGCAGGGCGGCATCCAGGATGGCGGCATCGTTCGTGCCCGGGCAAGCAGCTACGCAGTGACATGCAGTGCACGAGTGCCACTGTAGGCTTGAGAGCAGTTCCAGTTCGCCTTGTCTCAGGAGTGCAGACAAAGATTCTAGCACTTCTGCACAGGGCTGGCGGGTGACCCACTGGGAATCGAAGTCTTTGCTTGGCTCCTGGTTTGCAAGTGTGACCGTTTCCATCCTCTGACTTGCAGCTTCACGAATCTCACGAAAGGCCCCGAGAGCGACGCCTGCATCAGGATATTGCCAAGCGGTGAATCGGCAGTTTGACTTTGTGGACGTGGATGCTTCTGGCTGTTGGTCTCACATTGGCGCAACACTGGAGCTTGTACGACCAGGCGAAGAGAACTTGGCATCGCCTCGCTAGGACTCTGAAGCGCCCCATTGCCTTCAACAGAAAAATTTATACATGGCACGCGGTTGTGGTCTCTGATGATATGTTTACGCAATCTCTTCAGGCGGGCTGCTGTACCTGGCAGCTACTGGTCTCACATCAAGCAAACCTTCCCTGGCTTTTCAGAGCTTGGGCGTGCGGCTGGCTAGATGTCCGTCGCATGCTCAGCACTTCCCACTGGGCGGAGAGAGGCAAACTATTTAGGGAGGGTGGGGGGAGTGACGGCAGTGACGGTACCCAACATGAGGCCTACAGAAACTCTCCACGACCACATGGCAAGAGCCTTGATTTGGCGAGCCTTGGCCGGCTTGGACTCGTGCTCTGGCTATGTGTTCTTATTGCACTTCGAGGCTTCAAATGGCTTCAAGATAATTCTTTTCAAATCCAGGAATGGTGTCCGCTGCAGACAGCCTGGGGCTGATTGCGCAACCACTTTTCAGTCTCTATCGCGGGGCCGGTCTCTTGGCTAAGTCAAGTCGCGATGCGTCTTCTCTGCCCAGCTTCACCTCATCTCAGAGGCTCGATTCGCTTCAGCGGGGCTCTCGTGCCAGGAGATGTCTTCCGGATTCTGCTCCGTGTGGTCCGGAGATCTGGTGAGAGCAGCTTCTTCGTGATATTGCAGTGGCGCTCGGGTAGACTGGGGGCCTTGGGGTGCTTGCTTGGCAGGCCTTTAAAGCATTTTAAAGCTATACGTCAGCACGGGTTTGACCCTGGCTCTCGTGCGGCACTTGGAATTACACAAGCCGTGAGGCACCCTGAAAGCATTCTGCTGTGGAGTCTGCTGCGACTGCAACATCTACGTGGGGCCGTTGGAAGACGAGAGTCTCTTCGGCAGCTTGGCTGAACCTCCTGCGATTGGTGCGACGTGTGGCGCTGGGTCTGTGAGCCGAAGGTGCACGCCACGCCCGATCTAGATGCCGTAATTGCCACTCCAGCGACTTTGTGTCTTGTCCTGAAAGACCATCTGCTTGACTCTGCTAGACCAGGTCATGGAGACTTGTAAGATGATAGCCCAGCCCATGAGACCGCATCTGTGAGAAAAAGCAGTCAGGTTTGCTGGGGTCCATTGTGGACAGGCAGCTTGAATTCAGATACCTGGCCTCACCATGCACAGTTTCGTGAGTGACGTTGTCAGATCATCACATATCCCTCCATCGCTAGGCCGCTAGGTGGTCTCGCACGAATTTACATGTTGGGAGTTCCGAAGCAGTCCTCTTGTGGATGCAAGAAACTTCTGCCGGCTTTTCAGACCTCAGCACCTTTCTACGCATGGCCGAGGACCCGTTTCTTGCCCAGCTCCAGGCTGATGCAGCTGTTCGAGGATGGCTGCAGGACGATGCAGTGCATTTCTGTTTCGTAGCTTCAGTTCTGGGGAGTGTGTTTTTCAAGGAGCCTCTCAGCGAAGGCTGCCTGCCGGGCCAGTAGTGTGCTGAGCAGCGCTTGATCCGCTCGGGTTCTTCGTTGGAGGGTTCGTCGGTTGGTATAGATGCATCTATTCTATACAAACTTAATACTGTCCTACTTAGATTTAGTTAAAGTAAGAGCATCATAATTATGTCTTAATATACTTAATATAGTAAGTTTAGAAGCCAGGGCCGCTGTTTGTGCCTCGGGGGTAACGAAATTAAAACCTCGGTGGCAACGAGGTTTTGTGCATCTCGGGGGTCCCGAAAGTGGCTTGCACCTCCTCTTTTACGAGGGATTATGCAAAATGCGGACGATCCCTCGTACAAAGACGATTCTTCGTGGGGGTCGGGTGACTTGCATTGTGGCCTTCCACAACAAAGGATGGGTGCGGCCAGGTGCGACCTCGTAACACCTCCAAAATGCTGTTTTCGAGTACAGACATGTATTACGCGGAATGCAATCGGGGCCTCCAAAATATTGTTGTCGAGTAGCACTGCAACATACTGTAACCACAGTTTGTGGAATGCTCTTCGAGTGGTGGGGTCTCGCACATGATATTTATGCTGTTTTCGAGTACAAACCCAGAACGTGGAACGCTCTTCGAGTGGTGGGATCTCGAAAATGGTCTTTTCGAGTACAAACGTAATACGTGGAATGTTTTTCCAGACACTATGACTTGGCAAGCGCAAAGGAAAGACTGTCACAGTCCCTATGGGCATGGGAGTGAAGCCTCATTTCCGGCATGCCAGACATGATATAAGTGCGACGCCCGAGGAGCCTTCCGATCCTCCAACTTCCCTCCCAGCTGCGCCAATTCCGCCCCCTCCTCCCCCCACCCTGCCGCTGAGTACCTTCCCCCCCGAGCCTAAGGGCTCCGGCTTCTCTCCTCTTGTGCCCCTTCCTCATTTCCAACCCTGCTTCCACTGCGGCTCCCACCATTTGAACCTTCCTCTTCTCTTCGGGTGTCTCAGGCGCTCTGGCCGAGTTGGAGCTTTTCTGCGCCTGCTCATTAGCGGGACGCATTCCTTTGACCTTGGCACTCGGGCACCCACGGTTCACTTTCGACGACCCACGGACATCCAGAACGAGACCTGTAGGAGCCATGAGTGCCGGCGCCATTCCAATCGTGGCCATGTGCCTGATTGTGCCTGCCTATCCTGCCTGATACCCATCTGAGAAAACTTAGGCGAAGGTACGTAAATTGAGTTGCGGAATTCTACTGAGCGGTCTCTGAGTGGTCTCTGCTACAACCGCGCACGTTGCTCGCTATTATATTTGTAGGGGAGGCAGCGCTGGATAAGCAGCCTATGTCGGGCAGAAGATTGTCATTCAGGTTTTCGGGGGCGGTCGGCCAAAGTGGGCTTTGGACCAGAACTCGGATGGTCGCAGCATGCGTAATCTGTTCGGGTTGTCAGATGCAACAGGCAAATCAGAAAAATGCGAGTGCGCATCCTGCGGGCATCGTATCCTCATGCCAGGTGGTCGTATGTCGCCACTGGCAGAGCTGCTTCCAAGGCAAGAATAGTCTCGAACTGAGATTGCAGAGCTTCATTGCGCCTTGTGCAGCGAGAGAGGCTTCGGGCAGAGGCATCCGCCGAGGCAGCTGCGGAGGCTGCTGGCAAGGTCGGTTATTCACAGAAGCGGCGGGAGAGCTCTGCAGGCAAGCGGGGCAACGCTCCGACCTTGGACCCTGCGACTACCCGCAGTGGCACAGCGCGGAGGCAAACCGACATGCACTGAAGAGCCGCAGCTGCTGTAGCTGCTAGCTCAGCGTCTCTCTCTGCCAGGTTGCGCACCACCCCAGCTTGGACAGCTGTTGGAGGCTGCAATTTTGCCGATTAGATTAGATGCTGAAGCTGTCCTCCTGGCTGACAAGGAGCTGAGTGCGGCGGGGCACACAGCTTGCCGTTCTTCCCTTGGTCCAGCAGCTCGGCTTGCAATTGCGGCAGGACGTTGGGCAAACATTGGCACAGATCGTAGAAGTGTCTGGAAGCAGTGGCATCGGCAAGCTAAGGAGCACTTCAGAACATCTGCAGACGTGTCAGAAGTGGTGACGATCGCTCAAAATCTGAGCCTCAACCGAAGGCCAAAGAGAACTCAGAAACTGGTGGTGCCTAGGGCGGGCGAAAAACAGCTGCAGAGTTCCTTGCTTATTTGCTTGGCATTGTCTGCAGAGTTAAGCAGCGAGCCGCCCAGCATGATCAGTGTCCTGGAAGCAACCTGTAGATTGTTCAAACAGTTTCGCTGAGTACTTAATGATGTGCACGAATCTGCTGCAAGGTGTGCAGGGGCTGCAATGCAAGCGTCTTTAGAGGCACAGCTGTGGCTGCTGGAGCTGTGTGCAGCCTTCATGCACGGTCCTGCACCAAGCCACTATTGTCATGAAGCATGTACTTCCACTGCGCCCGCGGCCATTTTACTTTGCGGCCAACCAAGTTAAGATTGCTTAGCAGTTGTAGAAGGGGACACCTGCAGAAGAATGGCGCGAAGCCGTCAGTGCCTTGTTCTCCGCTGCGTGTGGGCGTAATATCCGCGCTGTATTCTGTGTCAGGGGACGGAGGCATATCATGACTTGCTCAAGCCGTCTGTCTGCTGGCAATTTCACTTGCGTGCACAGACATGCCCCTTAGCATGCGCGTGCGTGTGTGCTGTGTGTGTGTGTGTGTTGTGTGTGTGTATGTGTGTGTGTGTGTGTGTGTCTGCGAACTGTCCCAGCTCACGGGCCAAGGGAGGTTACTCTCTAGCGCCATGTCGTTGCCTTTTGCGGGAAGCGATTTATCCATGAGCTGCCGGGCAGTGCATGACAGTCACTACCCAACGAAGACACTGTCAGCGCATGGTAATATATTGCCTCAGCCAGACGTACTGCCGAGTGGATTTCAACTTAACCGTATCTAGCATCCTCGCTGTACTTGATTGTCATTTTTGTTCGTGCGTCAAAGTAGCCTCATGTCAGTGCTTGCACGTGTCACGTGTAGGATACCTGGCTCGCCGAGGGTTTCACGTGTCTTCATGTACGGCTGCAGCAATCTGAGCCGCCTTCACACGTCCGGCCTGGCACCTTGCAAAACAAACCGGCAGCATGCGAGCAACTAAAACCAAGCATGAGCGTGGACATCCCGTGAGAAAGTGTGTGCATGTGTGTGCCTGTGTGTACGTGCGTGCTTGCCTGTGCACTTTTCAAGGCCTTTGCTTTCTCCTGGTGCTTCAAAGCCTTACAGAGTCTCGGGCGACGTCTAAGATTGCAAACTTCTTGAGGGTGTCCTTTCGCTTCCAATGAAAGGATTCATCGTCGGGGCCTTGACAGTGAACATTTCGGACCTGGAGAGTGTAAAGTGAAGGATCCAAGCTAATCGACGTGTTCTTGATTGCGTGTCTTTCCACGGCAAATTCGCGTGTGCTGGCTCCAAGGAGACAACCTCGATCTCTTCTAACAGCTCAGAACACCTCGAGGAGCGGAGATCGGACAAGCTCCGTTGTTTGTGGTGATGTTTTTGTCGAGCCTTTCTTCATGTCCAAATTCGTGGTGCTTGGGTCCGTAAAACTTAAAAATCCGAAATCGAAAGATTTGTGAGGTCATAGCATGGGTCAGAGCTCTCTCGTCAGGCAGTGCTTCCAGCACCCCCACGTCTTGCCAGCTTGGCAGAGACCGCGAAAGAGATTGAGAGAATCAAGCAGGTGTAGTGTCGGCAGTGTTGCTGTCTTCATTTTCTGAGTGTTGCTGGTGTGCGGTGCCAGAAAATCCATGGTGACTACGTCACTTACATCAACGGGAGGAAGGCGTGTCTTGGAAGCTTGTGATTGAGGTGTTGATAGGTGTGAGGGGACGGCACCCACTCTGCATAATTTTAACGCTACGCCGCCCGCCTCGACTTGCTGGAAAGCAGCACCAGATACGCTGATTGTGGAAAGAAGAGGGTACGGGGGAGGGGGGGGAGGGGAAAGGGGGAAGGGGAAGGGGGGAAGGCGCGGGTGAAACCTAAAGTCTAGACGTCCCCTGGCGGTCAGATTGCACAACAGTGATGTATAGGTATTTACAACAATGGCACGGCTGGACACTTACATGTTTATCCCGTAATCCTTTTGTCTCAAGTGGTTTCAAGACACCTAGCTCTCTTGGCGCAGTAGTAGAGCCAAATTGTTGTCCACGTGCAGGGGCCAGCCTTTAGATCCATCAGGGATTTTACCCGCACCCAGATCCTTCCACCCAAGAGGGGGGATTTGGGGGCAATTTTCTGGTAGCAAAGCCTGGGGGGCATTCTCTGGTAGCAGAGCCCGTGTTGGGTTCGACCCCTCGCCAAACACTGCCACAGCGGTTGGCTCCGGCCAATCGCTTCCCCAGGCGTGTGCCGAGGTTGCGCGATGTCGTCCCCAGCAGTGACGTTGGGAACAGCGATTCTTCCGGAGGATACTGAGAGGACGAACCCTCTCAAGGGCCAGCGTTTTATGCCGCAAGCCAGGCATCTGGAATGAGCCAGAAAATGCTCAGCCACCTCGGTATAGCACCGAAAATCGCACCCGCCTATGATGGCACCACAGTGTGGTTCGAATATGAGCAGCTCATTGACGACTGGCGCGACATTACAACGCTGGACGAAACGAAGAGGGGACCGTCTCTCAAGACGAGGCTCTGCGGTCTTGCAACAGTGCAAAAGCGAGCAACCACTGGACCGAACAAGGCTTACCGCCGCTGATGGAGTAGTATACTTGAAGAAGAAGATGCGGCCCTTCTTTGTGGAAGGAGAACAGTATGTCTTCCTCTTTAGATTCCTCTCGGTCTTATCAAGGCGTGGAAAGGCAACCAGGACTTTGTCACTTGGATTGCTAAGTTCGATAAGGTCCTGCAGAGCTTGCGAAACGCCTGGATGGCTTTTCTACCGGAGGTAACTCGGATGACCCACCAGAATTCGCAGCTGCCCTCTGGCAGGACGCGACCTTTGTGTGCCAGTTCAAGCATCGGAACCGTGCTCGAGAAGATGCTCGCCGGAGATCCTTTCCCCTTTTTCGCGTGCAGTCCGACCTAAATGAAAACCAACGTGAGAGATTGGTCTCAACCGTGACCAATCAAGGGTACCGGATTGAAACGTACTCGTAGAAGGTCGTGCGTCAAACTGTGTTTGAGCAACTTGCGACAACGAGGACTGGTGCTCAAGACCAACACATCCGGCACTTTTCTCACAAGAAGAACCATCGAGGAAAGAGAGAGACATACGCCCCCAGGCGTGGAGGCCGAAACTTTCTCATCCTTGACCAGGGAGAATCTGACGGAGTTGAAGGCTACTGGCTTCAACACGAGGACCCCTAGAGGAAGGGTTCCTCGCAAACGAGGATTCGTCCGTGTTCTGGTTTTGGAAGAACACGAGGCCTTTGCTGGGAAGAGATTCAACCGTGATGAACAGCAAAAGGCAGCAAACAAAGATCCCGAAACCGCTTTAGGCCGTATCGCTCAGCAGGGAGAGCCAACAGTGACATTCTCTGCATAACCCTCATCAGCCAAGGCCTTTGCCATTATGGACCAAGCACGCTTGAATAAGCGCACTGCGGTCTCAGCACGATTAGGCCAAGGAGTACGAGGTCCACATGGGCATTGAGTGATGCCATGAAACTTGTAGCAAGCCATGAACTGATTGGTGAAAAATGCTTGGTCTCCAACGATTCCCTTCGGAACACAGTTGTTCTCCTCGTGAGAGCCGTAGCCCACAGGAGGAGATTAGAGGCACCATCAATGATGACTAAGGCAAGGTATGCCTTTTGGCCAAACTTGATTTCCTCGTGATCAACAAGGATGAGATCACCAAAAGAGGATGCGCTAAGTCCTGTGATTCTGGCTCGCGGAGGCGTTGGCACGGAGGTGCTGCAAACACGACAGGTCCTGAAGATTCTGTCGTATTTGTCATAGATCTCTCCTGGCAGCCC